CTGAATGTCCCATGTTTAGATTTCATTTGACAATTAAAGAATTTGTCGCTCGAGAAGCTGAGAGATTTGTTCTTCAATCAAAGGGAAGAACTAAAGTCTCTGAAAAGGTGCCATACTTTTCCTAGATGTGATGAATTCACGGCTTCAGAGAAAGTATATTGAACTATTGTCTTCTCCTCTTCATAACATAACATCTATCAACTGCTTTTTGTATATAAAGCTCTAAGGATTCTGCATGTTCGTGCTAAACTGTCGTTTGGGACTGAAGCACATTTTCATGACAAAAACTAAGATTTATTTTCAATAGAAATTTGGGACGGAGTGTTATGTTTCGTGACTCAAATTCCTTGTGACTTAAAAGTTTGATTCATGGAGGAAGTTTAGATAATTTTGGTTTAGAAGTCTGGTTTGAAAAGGGATCAAATTTTATCATGAATTAAGAATTTGATTAGGAAAAAGATTTTGAAATTGATAATGAAGTGTTTTTGACGCATTAAGACCGAGACGGGGCGCCAGGAGCGAAAAAGAGAAGCAGAAGGCCCCAACCTCTAGGCGGCGGCTATTCGAGGAGGAATTTCATTCCTGTTCGGGTTTTTACGCGATTTTGTATTCTACATTATCCATAATTCCAAGATTTGGTTCTTATAAATACTCCACAAAGTGTAGACTCTTTAGAGAGACTCAAGATAACAATTAGATCATTATTGTATATATTAGAAACTTGAGAGAATTATTTAGATTTAAATTGAGAGAATTAAATCTTGTATAGACAATTTTAGTTTTTTGGTATAATAAATTGTCCTCTTCTTCAGAAAAAATTTTGGTTGTTGCGTGATCCTTTATTTTTTCATATTGCTCATATTATTCTCGTTTTTATTATTTGGTCGGATTCTCAACAATTGATATCAGAGTGATTCTGGTTTCTTGTTTGTTTCCGGTAGTTACAAGGATATAAGATGAAAAAGTTTGCTCATAATACCTTAATTGTCAAAATATTACCGCTTTGACAATTGCTGCTTGATGGAGTTTACACGCGAAGCAAGATGGAAGGTGAGATAATTTGTGTCCTATTCTTGTTAACTTTCAGCTACAGTATACAATATATATAGTACAATGCAAATCTAAAATATGATATTATGTACAGCACATAGGCGGGTAAACAAATACAACCTTGCTACACTTGCACACATTGGTACACAATCTTCTACACAACCCTCTCACATGTGTGTGGATCCCACAATGTGGGGCCCATCGTGAACCCCACACACATGTTAGAGAGTTGTGTAGGAGATTGTGTACAAAGTGTGTACAAGTAGCATTTTTGAAACAAATAAGGCCGTGTTTGTTTTGATTTTAGTCTCCAATTTTCCCCCTCGAACCAATAGTAGCTATTGAAGCTACTTCGAGTTTGGTCTTCAAATTTTCAAGAAAATTTGCTGGTAAGGCCTTTTGTCAAGATGTCAGCAGTCTGTTCTGAGAATGTTGTGTGTCCAACATCAAGTTGCTTAGCTTCCACTCTCTCTTACAGAAAAAGATCGAGCTCTATGCGCTTTGTCTTTTAAAGCAATTTTGGAATAGCTGAAGGGTAAACTGTACTCAAGTTATACTAGACACATTAGGTATTTGAATATGTAGCCCTTTGAATACCGGTTGTGGTTCTTGTAATAATAAATCGTCGGTATTATTAACGTAGAAATTGTTGTCAAATTCGTAAAATATCTTAGTATACAGCAGACTGTAACTATTTGTTTAATAATTTTAGTCTTGAGACGTTGTTAACTGGTACCTGTTCATCCTAATTTCATGATGTTTTGAATTCACACATCCTTGTCAGATTTAGAATTAGTTTTGCTTCTGAACTCAATAATGCATGATTTCTGATGTAGATGAAGGCTGAGAAATATTTGTTGGGAGGATATTGTGACAGTCATGTTCACTCTCCAAGGACAACATCATAGAATCAAGATGAAGCAGCAAATTCTCTGGTAAACACATTCTATAGAAGTGGTGGATCTTAGTCTGGAAAGGTTGACAATGTTTCGTAAATTACCAATAAGATCGTGGATGAATAGAACAAATTGAGTTCCTATTTTTTTTTCAAGAATTATTAACCTAAGATGTGTGATTCTTCAAGAAAATTGTACAATAAAAATGTTACGAAGACAGTCCCTTGCATGTTTTCTTTGATAAGATTTATTGTTGGAAGTTGGTAAGTAATTATATCACTGTAAATTGATTTAGGTAGAATAACGTCGTGAAAAATTGAATGATATAAAATGTTAATGGTCGAGGCAAGAGTTCGACTCTTTCTCCTAAAAACGATAATGCTTTGCACTGGTGCTGACGGTATTTCAGCACTCGTCTCCCCAAGATACAACGACCTTGACTTGTAATAGTAGCACTACAAATTACAAGACCCGACGAACCTACTCATGTTTTGACCTCTCTAAAAAATTAGAGGACTGAAATGCACGAAATATTTTTTTCGGGATGGATGCAAAATATGAATAATGCAAGGACGAATGAATAAAATCAGAATTGATTTTTAAGTGAATGAAAACGGGGGTATGGGGGCCTATTTATAGAAGTTGGAAGGTAGGACACAACAGTCGAAGAGTTGTATCATCAACAGACACAAACCGTTTGGACCGTAGACCGTCAACCGTCATTTTAGAAGAATCCACGTATCATGCACAGAAAGATCGAGGAAAAAAATAATATAAGTCAAATATTATTTACTAAAAGATCTCCAAATTATAAAGAATAATGGAAAAAGGACATCTTAGTTTTATGCATCTTAATTTCGAACTTGGAAAATGTTATTTCATATTCTTATATGAGTACTAATTGTAGGAATTTGAGGTATATAATTCCTTAGACGAGGTGTTCAAGTCCAATTATACTAAACTGCCATGGGTTTAAGTATAAGATATCCAAAAGTTCAGACGTAGCCAATGCTCAAAGACGGGAAGCAGTTCCATTCGTGGAGTTTGGAGGTCTGATGAAAGCAAATGCAACTACAAAAAGCTGATGAAACATAAACTTCTCTGATATTCATGAATCGTCAGTACACTAGATAAGATTTTACCGTTCCATCCAACCCACCAATTCTAGACTGGAAAGAATGTAAGCAAATATGAGCAAAAGGGGTATTCATTAGACACGGCGATGTTTATAATTCATAATCTATATTATTGTTAAAATCCCCAAAATAAACATAGGAAAGTCCCAACAACAGGAAATAGCTTCCAAGCATCTAAACAATTCCAATTTCTCAGTATATTCCACCGTTAATTGCCATCCTGACAACCTGATAAACAACTGCAAAAAAAAAAAAGCAATCTAACACGTTCACTCGATCACTTGAATAAGCGTGTACTCCCAGTAAATAACACAGAGAAAAACTTACATGACAATACTACCAGAACTGCAAAGAGGACAAGAACAAGGTGTGCAGGTTCCCATTCTTCTTTCTTAGATGATTGAGGGGTCAGTCCTCTCCTTGTGATATTCTTCTCAAATTTCGCTGTTTTCTTCTCTGCAAGGCGTTTCGAAGTAGTCTGCAAATCATTATCAAGATTTAATGGAGTTGGAAAACAAAATTGTATTATAAACTGCCTGGAGACGATGGGGAAATAATTTCTTGATTATCTTTAGTTCAATACGTTGGCCATTAAACCTGAATCTCAAGTACATAGCAGTGTTAAAAATAACAAATTCAGCTTTATTTCAGTTACATAGAAATATTCTTAAGCAGAATTGGATCGACGAGTCACAGAAACTGCTGTTAATCTTTGTTACTTTTTCATTCCAACAAATTTCCAATTTCGTATATTCTTGAAATAGTTATTTCACATTTAATGCAAAAACAATAGTATCAACCAAATTTAAATTTTTGTGGAAATGTACAATTTAATTACATATTCCTTACTCTCTGTATCATAAATTGCGCATTAAAAGGAAAGAAGAAACTGAAGGGACTCTCAAAAATATCACCGCTTAGTCATCTTCTTCATCTATATTTCTATGGACGTGGAAGAAATGAAGACAAAAAGGGAAGCGATTCTCGTACAAATTGACAAATTATTAAGTACAAAGTAAAAACTAAAAAAATTAAACAAAAAATCCCAGATTCATTAGCACATGCAAAAGGGAAATTATCGTGATAGAAAATTCAACGGTGAAACCGAATAATGAAAACACCAAAGAAGATGTCGATGAAATTGGCTTGTGTGCGTGTTTGTGTTGGTGTTCGTGTGTGTGTGTGTGTGTATAGAGAGAGAGACTTTACCATGATCTTGTGGCTTTGAGGCTGGAAGTGCTAACCGACTGGGGAGAGAAGAGAGGAGGGAGATGAGAGAAACTTATGACAGACCGAAGAGTCTAAAAGCCCGTTTTGTAAGACTATAATGCTGCTTGTACAGGACCTGCTTGACAGGTCCCTTACAGGCAAGACACAATGGTGGGCCTCACCATTGTTTAAAAAAAAAAAATTAAGCCTGACCCCACATGTGTGAGGGGTATGTAAGGGACCTATCAAGCAGGTCCCTGTACAAGTAGCAGGGTTCTTTGTAAGAATATTGGAACCAAGGACTTTGACACATCTTATTCCCCACGTGCGATGCTTTGTTTATTTTTAATTTGTAGGACCAATTTATTTAAAATTTCATTTTTAAATTTTCCTTCTTCTTTATATTTTTGACTTTTTTTTTTCCTTCTTCCCATAGAAGGGCTTCAAGTGAAATTCATCGAGTTGTCTGATCACGTCAGCTGCCACGTGGAAATTCTCTCCAATTTATCAACGGCGGTTTGCTTAGTGACTTCTGGAATGATGAATTGTAAAGTTTAGTGACTAGTTGCGTTATTTTGAATGTTTCATGACCCCTTGCTTGCATGACTGAAAGTTTCAAGGACTAAATAGGCAATTCACTCCATTTTTAGGTCAGATATTATTTATTGATAACGCATTAACAAATTTATTGGTCATAATCAATCAAATAATTTGTAACCACCGTCTCACCACTACCTCGATAGCACCACCGCCACTAGAATCACCACCTCACAACAATCGACATCAACATCACCAACTCCACCATCTCAAACAAACTAATTGCACCACCGTGACCACCACAACCACCATCTCCACCACCGTTGAACACCATTGCTTGCGCCACCGTCGAACACCATCGCCGCACACCACCACCACCACGCCACACAATCACATTGCACGAACCGCACCTACATCACACCACAATCGAATCATACAAAAATCGCCACCCACTAAAAAAAATAGATTGCGATGGAGCAAGAAGGAAGAACACACAACAGTAGCAACAGATTGCGCAGCGGTATCGTCGACAGCGTTCTCCGACAATGACTTCAAGTGACGACTTTCGATGCTTGCAATAGAGAGATGATATAAAGTAGGATAGAGAGATAAGAGAGATGATAGAGAGGATTAAAAAGAAAAGCTTCCATTCCCCAACCTCCTTTTCCTAATTTTTCTGAACTTCGCGCTCTCCGTCTTCAGTTTGAGGCAAGGTTCGTGCTCCGGTAACGCATGGCTTGAATCCGTAGTCAGCGGAGGTGCTTGTAACGGAATTCCGTCCATTTCGGGAACGTGTTCGCGGTAAGGTAATAAGAATTTCATTCTCACTCAAATCCGCAGACCACCCCCCCTACCAATAAAGCCAGGAAGTTTCACAACCTGAGAACCGTGATAATCGATCCTCAAATGAGAGTAGAGGTTTTTCATTCCCTTTCCGAAAAACTAAGACTACATTCGAGTAGGCATGCCAAGAGCAGTTTCCAGTTATTGACCCTGAACAAAAACATGAACCCGTAAAAAAGGGTAAGCGTTTCCTATCGAATGATTCCATTTTTGATGACGAAGGGGGCTTACCCTCAACAACTCAGTTGAGACACTGAATACCTCTCTGGCTTGAACGTCTGCCACTTGCTCTTGAATGAATCCACCTTACACTATAACACTACTGGATCTCGATCTAAGAGAAAACACTTTCTTTTTGAAGTGGAAGAAAGGATTGTGTGAGAGATTGGCTTGGGATAAAGATCCTATGCTTGTAAAATTTCTCTTATGTGAGCACTCTTCGTAAAGAGAGGCATTTGCAGATTGAGGGATAGAGCTCTTGGAAAGCAGTCGTATCCATCTAAGATAAGAAAGCATTTTGACTCCCTTCCGGCGGAAAGCCCTTTCCAGATGGAGTAGTGCATCTCTCTCTTGAAAGCCCGCTCTAACGATAGGGTCGTAGTGAATTGAGCTCTTTAGAAAGGTACGAGTGGAAGACTTTCCACGTAAGAGCTACATAAAAGGAGCGAGAAAGAGAGAGCGTAATACTTGTCTTTACGCGAGCAAGGAGAGGTTAAGCCCTTGAACCAGTTTAGTTTGATAGAACCAGGTGAAAGCGCTAACTTCACTTCCGTTTTTCGGACTGGTTAAATAAATATATCAAAAAGCTTTGTTCTTTTAGAAAGAGGGAAAGCTAGTGGTTCGCGATCTACCAGTGTACTGTATGGTTCCTTAAACTTTTAGCCCAGTTGTCAATCTTATCTTTTTGCGCTAGCAATGAGTAGGAGGGGCCCTCGCCACTAGGAAGAGTCAGTCTGTAAGACCTATAGGGCAATTAGCGACAGTTTTTTTATCTTACTAAAAAAAAACCACAGGTCAAAACTTAAGACTGACTATAATGATCTTTTCTTCAGAAGATTCAAGATATCAGAAGTGAGAATGTGGCATTTTCCTTATGTCAGGCTGATTTGGTTGGGCGAATCCACCGACTCCTTCATCTGGCTGAGGAGGCGGATTATCGATAGGGGGCTAGCTTGCNAAGACAATGGTAGAGTGAGAAATGAATTAGGTTTGATTTGGGATTAAATTAAATGGGTTGAAAATTTTATAATTAATATTTAATTAAATATGAAAAACCTGATATTTGAAAAGTTAAACTTGTAACCTGATTTGTGAAATTGGAAATCTAATTTCAGGTATAGATTTAATTTCCTCTCATTTAATATTGCAGTTAAACATTTAACTTGTTAGTGGGCTGTTTCAACGACTGGATAGTGGACCAACCCGTTAAGCACCCCCGTTACGGGCCTAGTTCCATTAACCATCTAGGCTTTTACTGGGTGGGTCTATCATTTCCGGGCTAGTCCACTGATTTATACCCCTAAGTCTTGGGCCATTGGTACACGACCTAAGATGTCATTTCAAGCTCCAAGCTGATGGCCCAAGATTTACCTTTTACCCAATTCTAATATGAGAAAATTACAAAAAACCATTTTAAAGTTTTAATTTCAAATTTCAGATATTAATTTTATTTATACAAAAATCATATATTCATTCATCTATATCTAAATCATAATTAACCAAACTTTAAAAATCCCAAATCATTTATCACCATCTTCATTCTCTCTCCTCATCCTCCTCCTCGTCTTCTATCATCTCTCGCCTCTCTCTATTCCAACTGTTACTTTCGCCAGAGACCACCGCAAATGTTGCCTCTATAAGATACATCGTAGCTGCCCAAGGCGTGAACGTCGCACTGCCTACGGCGCGAATCGCCCTACTGTGTGGCGTGAATGGCGCTACAGCTCAAGCTATCGAGTCTTTGATCCACCACGTCGGTAGCCTCGGCCTCCTTCGTTCCAGTTCGTCTTTGTAAACCACCCCTTTTCCTTCTGCTTCTTCTGCCCAACTCATTTCTGATTTTTGGATCTGATTTTCTGATTCGGTGGGGAAGAGGTAGACTAGGAAGACGAAGAAGATGGTGGTCTAGTTGAGGGGTGAGGCAGAGGTGGCGGCGGTATTGGTGGTTGTGGTGGTGAGGTGGTTTTGGCAACTGTTTTGTTGGTGGTTAGGCGGTGGTTTTGTTGATTTTTGGGCCACGATTTTGTTTATTTTTGGGCGATGGTGGCTTTATAATGGTGTTGATTGAGGTAAGGGTTGTGGCTAGGAATGAAGAAGACGATGGTGTGGTATGAAGGGAGTGGTGGTGCCGACGATGATGGTTGTCAGTGAGGTGGTTGTGGTTTTGGTGGTGTTGTGGCGAGGGCGAGGGCTGCGGCGGCGGCGGCAATGGCAATTTTTGTGGGTTTGAAGGGAGTGGTGGTGCCGACGATAATGGCTATCAGTGAGGTAGTTGTGGTTTTGGTGGTGTTGTAGCGGCGATGGCGACGACGGTTTTTGTTGGTGGTATGGTGCAGAAGGCGATGGTGATGTTGTGGTTGGGGCCACGACAATGGTTGTGGCTGTGGGGGCGATGACGGTGGTGATTTGGGTGGTATTGTGGCGGGGCGGGGTGAGACAGTATTTGTGACCATGGTGGTGGTGTTGTGATGGGGGCGATGATGTTGGTGGTGTGGTGCAGGCGGCAATGGTGGTGATTTGGGTGGTGTTATGGCGGGGCCAGGTGAGATAATATTTGTGACCAATTATTTGGTTGATTTGTGACCAAGTGTTGGCGGAGGATTGGGATGAGACTGGGGTGTTTGGTGTATGTGACCGGCTGTTTGGTTTATTGTGACTCATCATTAATTCGTGACCTTAAATTTTGATAATTTGTGACTAAGAAGTTTGAAAATATGTGACCTATCGATAAACTGTGATTTATAATGTTTTTTGATTCGTGACTAATGAAGTAAATTGTGACCGATAAAATTTTTAATTTGTAATCGTAAAATAATTTGTAACGTTTTAATTTTTGATTTGTGATCGATGAACAAATTGACCTATAAAATTTTTGAATTGTGGCCGTAAAATACTTTGTGACCTATAAATTTTCTTAATTTGTGACCAAAAAATAACTTGTGACGTTTCAATTTTTGATTTGTGACCGATGAACAAATTGTGACTTATAAAATTTTTGAATTGTGATCGTAAAATAGTTTATGACTTAAAATTTGTGATTTGTTACCAAATTATATGAAATTGTGATCTTCATATATTTAATTAATAAAGTATATATTTAATTAATTTATTTATAAATAAAATTTTAAAAAATCTGAGATTTGAAATTTTAAACCTTAAAAAATTTGAAATTTTAAACTTGAT